AAGTTCTCTTTACCATTTTACTGTAACTTTGTTTTTTTGTTAAAATCTCGCCGGCGACGAAGTATTGCCTCAAGACCTGAACAGCGTTAAAGTCGCCAGAACTGCAGAGTGACGCACCACTATCTTTACAAGCTTTAAGGTTTTCGGTGACAAAACAACGGATAACCAACTTCTAACTAACCCACCGTTAAAGTCTCCTCGGGATCACTTTTTCGGTCACCAAGCAGAGCTTTCACAGTGCTTGGAAACTTTCGACCAATTCCAAAAAGTTCATTAAAGTTGCGAAATTCTCTATCTCCTTCCTGGTTTCATCCGTTTCATCCCCTTTTTGGTCAAATCGTGTACTTCTGTAAAAAAACATGCTTATATGTTTTATCGATACTGCCCGTATTTATGGTTTATACGTTTTATAAATGCTAAGTGAGCAACAGCTCTATTAAACGCAAAACGAGCTTTTGGAATGGGACCGGTAGTTGCTGAGATTAGCGAGTTCAAGCCAACAAACCCTTGGTGTTACTTTAGAAGCACCAATTTGATTACAATAACTAATCAAGTGCCACGAAACATTTTTAGTCCTACAAGAGTGCTACTGATAAAGAAAGGCCTTATATTTATTTATATTTCATTGTGGGTATTTTTATTTGTTTAATTTAAAGTTTAAATAATTTAATTTTTTAGTTAAATTTAAATTTTAATTTAATATCTATATCTCTGTAATCTGTACAGTCAAATATTAAATAATACAAAGTATTTATGAATTTATAGTATTTATGAAAATCGCATATGTTTATGTATATAATATTGTCGGAGTATGTATTATATAACCTCACGTTGCGTCTGGAAGCCTGTTCTAATCTTTCGGCTGAGTTCGGATTCCTTTGGTCCCTCTATTACAACTATTCTTCGTTACGATAACTCATTTCTCCTTTAGTTAAAAATAAAATTCTTTCATATTTTATATTTAACTATTTTTTATATCAGTGTTAATTGTGAAATGATTATTCATTTCGAATAAAAAAAAAAAGAAACGTACTTTAGAAGAAGAAATATTGAAAATTAACGATTTAAGCCCCGTTATAAAACAGCAATGACAATGAAACCTACATTACATTCAAAATGGCTAAATTTTGAATATAATGTTGAGCCGTTTTTGAGAAAATCGTAAAAATGTGTAATATTGATCATATAAAGTGCCACTTCCGGTTAGCTGATTTTGACGAAAAAGTTGCTGTAATATTCAAAATATACACAAACTTTAAATATGCAATTTCACTTTCATAAGACTTTTCGTTTTTGAGCTAGACTGTTCACATAAACACGCCCGCGCGCGCACAGTGGACTTGGTTATTTGGTCGCAATACATTATAGCAGTATATTATATTATAACATATTTCATATTATATGTTTCATATTATAAGTGAAAGTAAAGAAACTACGTATGTGATTCAAATAGTTTTCGACAGTATCTTTTTCTATTTTTGCCTTTTTTAACACGGCGTTAAAACACCCTTTTGAATAATAAATAACTCAGTACAAAGAGGATGAAATGATGCATATTTCCCTCTTTTACAGTACCCATTTCCGATTTTTAGTATCTGAAATATTTTAATTCATATGCAAAAACACTTCAATTATTCGACTGGAGCCGACTTAACCCGCATGAGCGTTACCAATCCGACGGTGACTGCTCAATCGAATTCACGACCCAAAAAAAGTGCAAAGCGCGCCTAAAGGAGTTTTGACAGTTTTTAAAATTCGAATTGAAATAAAAGATGGTTTCCTTGCAACTAGTGATACTTGAGTAGTTCTCATTGAAATAAAAGATGGTTTCCTTGCAACTAGTGATACTTGAGCAGTTCTCATTGAAATAAAAGATGGTTTCCTTGCAACTAGTGATACTTGAGCAGTTCTCATTGAAATAAAAGATGGTTTCCTTGCAACTAGTGATACTTCAGTAGTTCTCATTGAAAGAAATGATGATTTCCTTGCAACTAGTGATACTTGAGTAGTTCTCATTGAAATAAAAGATGGTTTCCTTGCAACTAGTGATACTTGAGTAGTTCTCATTGAAATAAAAGATGGTTTCCTTGCAACTAGTGATACTTGAGTAGTTCTCATTGAAATAAAAGATGGTTTCCTTGCAACTAGTGATACTTGAGTAGTTCTCATTGAAATAAAAGATGGTTTCCTTGCAACTAGTGATACTTGAGTAGTTCTCATTGAAATAAAAGATGGTTTCCTTGCAACTAGTGATACTTGAGTAGTTCTCATTGAAATAAAAGATGGTTTCCTTGCAACTAGTGATACTTGAGTAGTTCTCATTGAAATAAAAGACGGTTTCCTTGCAACTAGTGATACTTGAGTAGTTCTCATTGAAAGAAATGATGGTTTCCTTGCAACTAGTGATACTTGAGTAGTTCTCATTGAAAAGGCAAAATAGGTGACTTGAATGATGTTTGTTCCAAAAATAGGTGACTTGAATGATCTTTGTTCCGACAATAATAATAAAGGCAAGTTGAAGAGGACCCCCGCTGACTGCTAATGAGCCAGGATTGGCACCGATCCGCATTCACAGCAGAGCCATCATGGCGGTGCAAGCCATCTCAACTCCTTCTTAACATCTCCTCGGTTTATTTTGTAAACACCTCCTTCTGGATTAATAGCTCAACTTTAGCATAGACAAAAAATCATCTCAAATTCATAGCAAAATATTAATAGATTCTTTAATAAATTCGGAAAATCATCACTTATTCACCCAATGTATCAGACACAATGTAACCCAAATTATATTATATAAATATTTTTTATATTGATGTCATTGGTACCATGACCAATATTTTGTTTTTTCGTTAGAGTTTTTCTGCTTTCACTTAAATGTGCATATATACATATATGTACCCCAGAGGTAAAGGGCACCTCCCTCATGTAAAGGGCATGTCCTCTTGTTATTAAATGATTCAACTAAGTAACTAAGAAACAATTTTTAATATTTCAAAGTTATATAAAATTGGCTCCCCTGAACACATAGGAAAATGGATATAGTATTATTTACCTCCGGGGTACACATATGTAAAGTGAAAAGACGGCTGCGTATAAAAAAAATCCCGATTTTTGGATAGAATGTACAAGTAAGATAGAACGGTAGGAGAATGGAAAGAAAATAGGGGGTGTTCTACGTGGCTACGTGGCTATTTCGCCACGATATGAGTTAAACGAATAATTAGTAAGAACTGATTATCGAGAATTGCTAATCACAGTTGGCATTGTTGATGAATTGTTATAATGCGGTAAAAACATTATTTTTACTTAATAAAGAACCGAAAATCATCTTTTTAATGAGGCATCATTATTTAAAACATATGTTGATAAGGAAATTGATAAATCTTAGGCATCAGTAAATTAACTTCATTTACTACTCCGATTCTTCTATAACCGAAATTTTGTCACCTTCAATAAGTTTTATAGAATTTTAAAAAAGAGCTGTTGATTGTGTACAAAATGTCCACACAAAATAACTCAATAATAAAAACAAAAAAAAAATATTTATGTCATAAATTAGTCTGTAGAACATTATCATCCTTATTTCAGCTGCATATATATTCGCAGCAGATTATCAACTCAGGCCATTGTCATTGCTTCCAAGCCCCTTTTTAGATCCCATACAGACATTCCCATCCTTCACCTTAATGATCAGCCAATCTCCTTCTACTCCTCTGTTAAAAATTTAGGATTTTTCATTGATCAAAAACCTCTTTTGGAATCACCATATTTCTCATATCTCTCGACGGACAATTTCCACCCTCAAACTATTCCATCGCTTCCGCCATCTCCTACCTCAACATACGCATAGACTCCTAGTTTCCTCTCTCATTTTCCCTACTTTGACTATAGCTGTGTGGTGTATGATGGCCTCTCTGAGGAGCTCCGTGATAGACTGAAAAGACTAATGAACAGCTGCGTAAGATTTGTGATCGGGGCCCCAAGATACTCCCATGTTTCTCACCACTACGCTGAGTTAAAGTGGCTTTTCCCCTCCTTCCGAAGTCAATCCACAAAGACCTATAAAAATTCGACATTCCCCATCCATATCCACATTCAAAACCCTCCTATTCCAATTCCTATCCCAAAAACAGTCAGATAGTTGCTAACCATTCGAGCTGATTTCAATAGAGAATTTGATACATTTTTATTTTTTAATTCTTTATCATTTTCTTAAAAATGTATACTGGTCTATCAGTGCAAATACCTTTAAGTGTATTGTCATAGTATTAATTGTTTTGTATATAGTTTCATTTGTTTTGTATATAGAATTTTTACCTTGTATTTTTTTTACATTATTTCTTTTTTTCGATTGATTTTATTATAGCCAGATGTAATATTTTAATTTTGTTCTATTTTGTTATTCTCAAGGGACTGTGTCCCAGAATGAAGTTATTTTTCTATTCAATTCTATTCTTTTCAATATGTAAAATTAAATATTGTAACAACAAATTCAGGTGGTTGTGGTCAAGACCCAGCATACGGATTAAGGCGTCTTGATCGATAATATTTAATAAGAGAGAACAAAAAGGATAAAGTTTGATTAAATACTGAATATTATAATTTATTTATTAATTGTTGTAATATACTCCACATTCTTTCTTTTCACTTCGGTTCTCAGAATTAATAAAGCAACGGATATATATATATAATAAATAAATTATAATATTCAGTATTTAATCAAACTATATATATATATATATATATATATATATATATATATATATATATATAATATATATATATATATATATATATATCCGTTGCTTTATTAATTCTGAGAAGGGAAGTGAAAAGAAAGAATGTGGAGTATATTTCAACAATTAATAAATAAATTCAGTCAATCAAAATCAATATATATATATTCAGTATTTAGTATATATATATATTGATATTTGCAATTCTTTGTTTGTGGTATTGGCTATAATAGCTATCAATAGTTAGGTGAAATGTGGCAATACCTGTGGCATGTATCCTATTTCTTTGCTGCACCTGACTTTCAAGTTGATGAAGCCAGAATCCAGTTGCTTGACAGCCAATATGCAATTGAGTAGGGTTGTCTTACCGCAACTACTTGGACCAAGGAGACCATAGCTGCGGGAAAAACATTCTTATCATTATTGATAAATAAAACTCCCTCCAATAATGCTGTTCAAACCGCCTTAAAATATTAGAAAATTTAAAAAAAAAATTTAAAACTAAACCATTATACTAAATGATTTAATAAAAAATCACTAATTAAGACAACATTTCAGATTTCATTATAATTGTGTTACAGTTATAAGATGTACTTCTTTTAATTACATGTAATTTTTAATTACGGCATATAAATTCCCAAAAATACGCTTTTGTACAGACTCTGTTGAGATAGTTAGTTACACCTACGATGTCAATAATAGCTACGAGGACCAAAAGATAACCCCTATAAGGATAATAATGATAAATAGAAATGATAATAACGCCTATAAAGATAATAATAATAAACAGAAACGGGTCAGTTTGGGTAGCAACCAGTTGTGTATTGAAGAACAAATAAGTCCAATATATTTTGTGAATTATAGATACAACATAAACTATCTGACTGAGCAATTGCCAATTTTTTTAATACACTGACAGGCAAAAAATTCCACCCACTTGATTTTTTCATGTTTTCATCTAAAAATATTTCTGCTTTGGATTGGTCTATTATTTTTAATGAATGAATATGAATAAAATCTTTTTGTTTGTTTTCAATTAGGAATGTTAATATAGAGGACAAGAACCCTTAATCCTTAATTCAATGAAATGATTCTGGATTCCAATGTTTACTTTCTATGGAATCAAAATGTTTATGCAGTATCATTAGTTCAGTGCCGTTTCTTGCAGCACATTTCTTACTATCCGGCTTTTAATTTTTTCAATATTAAGTTTAAAAATGCCTCTTAGTGCTGAGGATGTTGCGCGTGGTGTGGCACTTATTGATGAAGGACGTTCCATTAGATATGCAGCTAATGCCATCGGAGTTCCATATGAAACTTTACGAGACGCCGTCAGGAGTTTTCGGGAAACTGGTTCTTACAATAGAACACTAGCGGATCCAGGATTTCATTTTGGGGGGGAGGCTTCAGCCCGAAAGCTGTTTTTTCCATAAAAATAACGATAATTACTTTAAAAAAAAAAAGAAAGAAACTAACTACCTGTATGAAATGGTGTTTAAGTGAATCCTAAAGCCCTTTTAAATGTAATTACACAAACAATAATACTTTTTAAGAGATACTTTTTAAATATTTTTTTCGATTAAAAATGGCTATATTTTACCATTTTGGGGGGGCTTCACCCCGAGAGCTCCCCCTCCCCGTAGATCCGCCCGTGCAATAGAAGGCCCGGTTCTGGACGGCGTAGGGTAACAGATTGGAACCCCATTGAGCAATTCTGGGATAACCTCGGAAGACTAATAAGAGCTCGGCAACACTTCCTGATACACTGCAGGACCTTGAAAGGGCTCTTCGGGAGGAATGGGCTATCCTCCAGCAAAGGGACATTTCTCGACTGTTGGAAAGTATGCCGAGGCGTCTTCAAGAAGTAGTGAAGGCAAGAGGAGGAAACACACGCTACTAAACGATGATGTAATTAATTTCTTTTAGAATGATAATGGTTCGTTTTTCAATTTTTTTTTTCTCTAATCTTTCTTACCCAATCACATTATGATTATTAAAGGTAAAAAAAATATAAAATTCCATAAATACTAAGTATTATCTACAAATACCATGTATTATATACAAATACAACTTTACAGAAATATTTTTAGCTGAAAACATGGAAAAATCAAGTGGGTGGAATTTTTTGCCTATCAGTGTAATAACAATAATAATAATAATAATTCGCCGATCAAACCTAGTCCCTTCAGATCGACTTTAATGCAATCTTCCCATCTTCGCTTCGGTCTACCCCTCGGACGTTTAACATTCGGTACAGCAAATATTAGCCTTTTAGGAATTCTCTCGTTACTAAGCCCGACAAGTTTACGAGCCCATTTGATTCGCCGGAATGAAATCACCTCAGTCATATTACCAGGATATAGTTCATGTAATTCAGCGTTGTGTAACCGTCTGAACTCTCAGGTTAATTCATCCTTCTTCGGTCCGAATATTCTACGCAATACTTTATTTTCAAATACCTTAAGACGTTGCTCATCCCTTAATGTAAGCGGCCACCTTTCGCATCCATAAAGAACTGTAGGTAAGATAATGGTTTTATAGATTATAATTTTTAAGTTCCGGGACAAGAGGCGCGATCTAACTACTTTTGTCACAGAAAAGTAACAAGCATTTCCCGCCTCCGTCTAACCTTAATCTCTTCCTCAATTTCGTTTTTCTAGTTATCGTGGACCCTAGATGCCTAAACTTCACTACCAGTTCAAATATATTTACATCTATATCGATATCACTAGTAGTATCGCCATTTTTGCGGCTAACCATATATTTTGTCTTATCCGTATTTATTTCGACTCCTAGTTCTTTACTGGCATTCATTAACGTTGTCGTATTTAGTTATATAGTTTCCACGTCTTCGCTTAACAGTACCGTATCATCCGCATAGCCCAGCACGTTCAGCACGCATAACGCAGCATCATTAGCCAAGTTCTAATGCCAAAGTGAACAGGACAGGCGAAAGGACATCCCCCTGTTTTAAACCTGAACGAACCTCAAACTTTTCGGACTGATTATAACCGATTCTAAGTTTATTGAGTGTTTCCGTAAAGCACATCCTGACTAGATTTACTAGTTTTTTTGGAATCATCGCGCGGGCTCATTACCGCGTAAGGAGAGCGTCATGCGGGTGGAGGATGTGGGGATGGTCAGTGAAAATTCCTTGGATGTTTCTCCCGGCTAAGTCCGATGTACTCGCTGACCAACTATGAGAGGGGCCCTCCAGAATTTAAACCCGGAAAGCGGTTCCACAAATGGATAACATTAAATCCAATTTCTTCAAGTTGAAGCAAGTCAGTTTTTTCATCGGACTTAGGAATTATCTCTACCATATGGTTATATCTACAATATGGTTCAATCAGCTGACACATCTAAAGGATTAAAATTGTGCCATGGGTTATGAAAAAAGCGACTCATCTACACCAGAATACAGAAGACCCCTTTCGGTAAATAGTTCATCCGAGAATCCAAGTTCAGCAAATGATGCCTACACATTAAAACTATTCTTGACAAAGTATATTGTTAAAGCGCTAACCGTATTATTTTATTAACAAGGAAACCATACATGAATTGAACTTTTCAAAAATATAAACCAACATTTGAGACAAATATAAGAGATTTCACTCTTCAACTGATGATAGTGGATTGGTGGTTGGCTCTAGTGAAAAATTAAGAGAACTTGGTTGAGGTTTTCAGTCAATAATACAAAGCAAAAATAAATAATTTTTTTTTTTTTTTTTTTGTATTTTTGATTTAACGCCTCAACCAACTTTTCTTCAATTCAACTCATAATCTTTTCTACTTTCTGACCCGCCCGATCTACAGACAAATTCAAGCAGTAGCCCAGAGATGCAGTAGCTCACCAACCAAGTCAAATTTAAAGGAAGGCTCTTTAACAACGCAGTAAAAAAAAAAAACTAACGAATTCCCAATGCTGCAACGCAGTTGTATTTATTTATGCAGTTATATTTATTGTTTAAGAATAAAGGATACACTAGATCCTGCAAAATAATCTAAAGAAATTAAATCAAATTAAAATCTAGATTAATTTGATGCAAAATATGCTATTAACCAGAATCTAATTAACAATATATTAAATTAGATTCACCTCTTCATTTAAGAATATTAGGTATAGAAAAACATTTTAAATTACATAGATGATAATAAAGAAATGACTTTGACTAACAGTGATTGCTTCTTAACTGATAAGCTGAGAGATGTTAGCACTCTCCTCGCCCTGTAGGTCTTCACCGCGTCCCTCACCAGGACCATCGTCTCCAATTTTTCGTCCATTTTCGTTCTTTTTTTTTCCCCTGAAAAAAAAATGTGTGAAGCCAGGATTAATCTTATTAATAGCTACGATTATTAATTAAGTGAGTAAGTTTGGAAAGCTGTTTTCTTTTTACTGGCCTTAACTAGATTGCTTGACATTATATTCATTGGACTGCATTAGAGCTGTATGTGTAAAGTCAGTAAGTGGAAGGTATATGTCATATAGCTCACCTACTAGCGGATCCAAGAGGGGGTGAGTATAGGCCAAAGGAGTAGTATAGAGTAGGGTATAGCACCATTAAAAATGCACCTCAAAAACTCCGTAACATCTTAATTTTTCCAAACAACAATTTCTCTAACAAGGCTTTAATTTTTTTTTAATTTGAACTAATTAACCATTTCATATTGTAACCTGCTATAATAAACGGTTAAATATGAAGTATGAAAAAACTTGCTAATATCTAAAGGAGAAAGAAATTGAAATCCAAAGAAACCCGACGCGCACACCAGGTCTTGGCCGAAAGGGTAGAATAGGCCATAGGAGTAGTATAGGGTAGGGTAGTATAGGCCATAGGAGTAGTATAGGGTAGGGCCGAATAGGCCATAGGAGTAGTATAGAGTAGGGCCGAATAGGCCATAGAAGTAGTATAGGGTAGGGCCGAAGAGGCCATAGGAGTAGTATAGGAGGGTAGTATAGGCCATAGGAGTAGTATAGGGTAGGGCCGAAGAGGCCATAGGAGTAGTATAGGGAAGGGTAGTATAGGGCATAGGAGTAGTATAGGGTGGTTTATTATAGGCCTTAGGAGTACTATAGGGTAGGGTAGAATAGGCCATGTGTAACACTTGGTTAATACCTGTGACCCGGAGGTAAAGGAGATCATGTCCACTTTGTAATTAAATTATTCAGTAACTAAAAAACAAATTTTAAAGTTACCTCCAACAAATACAAAAACTTAACGTGGTGTCCTTTACCTCCGGGTTACAGCATTAGTAACTAAGAATTAACTAAAAAAAATACAAGTTTAGTAACTAAGGAAAAGACTAAAAATTTAGTAACTAAGAAAAAATAGGTCAAAGTAGACAATTTGTTCCTCTGAACAGATACAAAAATAGACATGCTGTTGTTTGTTTACCTCCAGAGTGCAAATATAATGTGAAATTTAGTAAATAATTTAAACACTAAATTACAACAACTTTTATTCCAAGAGTTTTTCCCCTCTCAAAGAAATCGAATTTAAAAAATTAAGTCATCTATAGACATGTTTCACATTTTTTGACAAAGGTTGCCGGGCAACGGCATCCCGTTCGGCCACCCCGCCCCCAAACACACGGAATATAATGTAATTTAATGCTATGCGATCTGTTTATACATTCTAATTCTGTTATAAAATAGTTAAATTAGCCGAATCCAAAGCATTAAAAAGATAAAAAGCACTTACGTTGAAAGCGGCAGATACTACAAGGAAAATACGTCTTCATTATAAGATACTTTCTTAGAAAACTGGATGATTTTAATTTCTTTATTCATCAAGTAAATAGGACATTGTCGATCCCAAATGTTGTGTTTTTGATCACAAATGGTACAAAGGTTTCTTTAGTACTTTTTTTTTTCTTTTTTTTATGCTTTTCTTCACCTTACAGAGAACAGATAATTTTAGGGTTTGTGCATTTTAGGGTATTATGGGAGAAAGTGAAATACCTATAGCTCCTAATCGGATTAGGGCTATGTACGTTTGAACGTTAATGTTCTGATAACCTAGAGTTTCATGTTGTAATGAAAAGGGGGGCGGTGTGGCCGAGCGGGCTAACACGTGTGCACAGCACCGCCGTCGACCTATTTATTTGTTACACAAACACCCGTATTGCCATAGTGGCATGGGAGGGTGGAATATATGAATAAGTTCCGGGTGCCAAGGGAGGCTTTTTATCTCCGGTATAATAATAATAATGCTTTATTTATTCTGGGACAAGTCCCTTCAGAATAATGTACAGTGATGGAGACGTGGGCTTTGGAACCTCAGAGAATAATCACAAAATAAACAGATTAATATAATGAATAAATAAAAGAAAAGAGTATTCTTTACCTTCATACTTCAATTAAGAAAAAAAAAATGAAATAGAAGTATTCAAAATAAAGAGATTTAAAGGTGAGAAGGGTGTTGGAGCTACGGATATAGGATGGAACAGAATTCCATAAGGATGAGGACCGAATAATGAAAGATCCGTCCAAAGCAGCGGTTCTGTGGGTCATTATAAATAAATCTGAAGACAGTTTTGCGGGAGTGGAAAGAGAATATAAATTGAAGGAGCTCGGAGATGTATGAAGATCGGCGGGATTGGATGAGGAAAGATGATAGGAAATACTTACGTTGGCAGGAAGGACAAAGCCATTTTAGCTCTCCTTAATAACGGGAGACAGTGGCGTCTCTTGGGATCCCGAAGATGAATCCTACAATTTAACAAACGTTTTAGTTTCGCCTCGAGATCCCCAGAGACGCCTCCATATACCGTACAGCAATAGTCGAAGTGGAGAAATATTAAGGAAGTAATAAGGAGTATACATAGGTTTTTCAAATGGAAACAGGTGGCGAAGGTAATTTAGTCATTTTAAAATGTAAAAGGCACGGCGGAAAATATTGGATATATGGTTTTTCCAGGAAAGATTCGATCAAAGATTATTTCAAGATTCTTAATGGAGGTATTGAATTTGATGGGATTATCATGTAGCAACAGGGTTGGTATTTTCAGAACAGTTTTAAGGAAGTGACTGGAGCCTATCGAAATTGCCTTGGTGTTATCGGCATTCAACTTCAACTTCTTCGCATTCGCCCAGTCACAGACTCAATATTAGTCCTCACGAAGACTGCTAATAGGTCAGAAGGGGGGAAGAACATGTATATTTGGAAATCATCTGCATAGATATAGTATAGGAAGTGGTGGATCAGGAGAGGAAGATCATTAATGTAAATAAGAAACAGGGTAGGAGATAGGGAGGAACCCTAGTTAGATAGGGACACCGCAGAAGAGGGGAAGTGTCTTAGAAGGAGGTAGATAGGGAGGAACCCTAGATAGATAGGGACGCCGCAGGAGAGGGAAATTGTCTTAGAAGGAGGTAGATAGGGAGGAACCCTAGATAGATAGGGACGCCGCAGGAGAGGGGAAGTGTCTTAGAAGGAGGTAGATAGGGAGGAACCCTAGATAGATAGGGACGCCGCAGGAGAGGGAAGTGTCTTAGAAGGAGGTAGATAGGGAGGAACCCTAGATAGATAGGGACGCCGCAGGAGAGGGAAGTGTCTTAGAAGGAGGTAGATAGGGAGGAACCCTAGATAGATAGGGACGCCGCAGGAGAGGGGAAGTGTCTTAGAAGGAGGTAGATAGGGAGGAACCCTAGATAGATAGGGACGCCGCAGGAGAGGGGAAGTGTCTTAGAAGGAGGTAGATAGGGAGGAACCCTAGATAGATAGGGACGCCGCAGGAGAGGGGAAGTGTCTTAGAAGGAGGTAGATAGGGAGGAACCCTAGATAGATAGGGACGCCGCAGGAGAGGGGAAGTGTCTTAGAAGGAGGTAGATAGGGAGGAACCCTAGATAGATAGGGACGCCGCAGGAGAGGGGAATTGTCTTAGAAGGAGGTAGATAGGGAGGAACCCTAGACAGATAGGGACGCCGCAGGAGAGGGGAAGTGTCTTAGAAGGAGGTAGATAGGGAGGAACCCTAGATAGATAGGGACGCCGCAGGAGAGGGGAAGTGTCTTAGAAGGAGGTAGATAGGGAGGAACCCTAGATAGATAGGGACGCCGCAGGAGAGGGGAAGTGTCTTAGAAGGAGGTAGATAGGGAGGAACCCTAGATAGATAGGGACGCCGCAGGAGAGGGGAAGTGTCTTAGAAGGAGGTAGATAGGGAGGAACCCTAGACAGATAGGGACGCCGCAGAAGAGGGGAATTGTCTTAGAAGGAGGTAGATAGGGAGGAACCCTAGACAGATAGGGACGCCGCAGGAGAGGGGAAGTGTCTTAGAAGGAGGTAGATAGGGAGGAACCCTAGATAGATAGGGACGCCGCAGGAGAGGGGAAGTGTCTTAGAAGGAGGTAGATAGGGAGGAACCCTAGATAGATAGGGACGCCGCAGGAGAGGGGAAGTGTCTTAGAAGGAGGTAGATAGGGAGGAACCCTAGATAGATAGGGACGCCGCAGGAGAGGGGAAGTGTCTTAGAAGGAGGTAGATAGGGAGGAACCCTAGATAGATAGGGACGCCGCAGGAGAGGGGAAGTGTCTTAGAAGGAGGTAGATAGGGAGGAACCCTAGATAGATAGGGACGCCGCAGGAGAGGGGAAGTGTCTTAGAAGGAGGTAGATAGGGAGGAACCCTAGATAGATAGGGACGCCGCAGGAGAGGGGAAGTGTCTTAGAAGGAGGTAGATAGGGAGGAACCCTAGATAGATAGGGACGCCGCAGGAGAGGGGAAGTGTCTTAGAAGGAGGTAGATAGGGAGGAACCCTAGATAGATAGGGACGCCGCAGGAGAGGGGAAGTGTCTTAGAAGGAGGTAGATAGGGAGGAACCCTAGATAGATAGGGACGCCGCAGGAGAGGGGAAGTGTCTTAGAAGGAGGTAGATAGGGAGGAACCCTAGATAGATAGGGACGCCGCAGGAGAGGGGAAGTGTCTTAGAAGGAGGTAGATAGGGAGGAACCCTAGATAGATAGGGACGCCGCAGGAGAGGGGAAGTGTCTTAGAAGGAGGTAGATAGGGAGGAACCCTAGATAGATAGGGACGCCGCAGGAGAGGGGAAGTGTCTTAGAAGGAGGTAGATAGGGAGGAACCCTAGATAGATAGGGACGCCGCAGGAGAGGGGAAGTGTCTTAGAAGGAGGTAGATAGGGAGGAACCCTAGATAGATAGGGACGCCGCAGGAGAGGGGAAGTGTCTTAGAAGGAGGTAGATAGGGAGGAACCCTAGATAGATAGGGACGCCGCAGGAGAGGGGAAGTGTCTTAGAAGGAGGTAGATAGGGAGGAACCCTAGATAGATAGGGACGCCGCAGGAGAGGGGAAGTGTCTTAGAAGGAGGTAGATAGGGAGGAACCCTAGATAGATAGGGACGCCGCAGGAGAGGGGAAGTGTCTTAGAAGGAGGTAGATAGGGAGGAACCCTAGATAGATAGGGACGCCGCAGGAGAGGGGAAGTGTCTTAGAAGGAGGTAGATAGGGAGGAACCCTAGATAGATAGGGACGCCGCAGGAGAGGGGAAGTGTCTTAGAAGGAGGTAGATAGGGAGGAACCCTAGATAGATAGGGACGCCGCAGGAGAGGGGAAGTGTCTTAGAAGGAGGTAGATAGGGAGGAACCCTAGATAGATAGGGACGCCGCAGGAGAGGGGAAGTGTCTTAGAAGGAGGTAGATAGGGAGGAACCCTAGATAGATAGGGACGCCGCAGGAGAGGGGAAGTGTCTTAGAAGGAGGTAGATAGGGAGGAACCCTAGATAGATAGGGACGCCGCAGGAGAGGGGAAGTGTCTTAGAAGGAGGTAGATAGGGAGGAACCCTAGATAGATAGGGACGCCGCAGGAGAGGGAAGTGTCTTAGAAGGAGGTAGATAGGGAGGAACCCTAGATAGATAGGGACGCCGCAGGAGAGGGGAAGTGTCTTAGAAGGAGGTAGATAGGGAGGAACCCTAGATAGATAGGGACGCCGCAGGAGAGGGGAAGTGTCTTAGAAGGAGGTAGATAGGGAGGAACCCTAGATAGATAGGGACGCCGCAGGAGAGGGGAAGTGTCTTAGAAGGAGGTAGATAGGGAGGAACCCTAGATAGATAGGGACGCCGCAGGAGAGGGGAAGTGTCTTAGAAGGAGGTAGATAGGGAGGAACCCTAGATAGATAGGGACGCCGCAGGAGAGGGGAAGTGTCTTAGAAGGAGGTAGATAGGGAGGAACCCTAGATAGATAGGGACGCCGCAGGAGAGGGGAAGTGTCTTAGAAGGAGGTAGATAGGGAGGAACCCTAGATAGATAGGGACGCCGCAGGAGAGCGAATGTTTAGAAGGAGTAGATGGACGCCGCAGGAGAGGGGAAGTGTCTTAGAAGGAGGTAGATAGGGAGGAACCCTAGATAGATAGGGACGCCGCAGGAGAGGGGAAGTGTCTTAGAAGGAGGTAGATAGGGAGGAACCCTAGATAGATAGGGACGCCGCAGGAGAGGGGAAGTGTCTTAGAAGGAGGTAGATAGGGAGGAACCCTAGATAGATAGGGACGCCGCAGGAAAGGGGAAGTGTCTTAGAAGGAGATAGATAGGGAGGAACCCTAGATAGATAGGGACGCCGCAGGAAAGGGGAAGTGTCTTAGAAGGAGGTAGATAGGGAGGAACCCTAGATAGATAGGGACGCCGCAGGAGAGGCGAAATGTTTTAGAAGGAGGTAGACCTTCGACGACTATTGTATGAATATCGATAATTTTTCAATTGAGTTGCTCTATAATCCTATAGTTCTATAATCTCACTCTTTCCCAAGTATTACTAAAGTCGTAGCATCTAATAACTGCTTTAACATTATATTTAAAGCAGCCTGTGCTTTTTCACAATGGTATAAATTGGTCGACAAGTCGCTTACAATCTAAATGTGTCTGCAACTGTTTATATTACTAGTGGGGTTTTTATCCAACCTCTTTTTGAAGTAGCTCATCGATTTTAGCTGTACGATATTATGTATTTAAATTCTTATTTTTTACCTTTATAAAATTTACCAAAATACGATTACTTGTTTTCAAATACAACATCGATATGTCACACTTTTTACCCCATTTTATAGTAACTAATGTGAGCCTGTTTAACGTTGCACACTCGTTACTCATGGTACCGACGATATAATGAATTCAGTTTAAACGAAAAAAGAAATAAAAGGTAAAGAATAATCTCTAGCAATGAAAATATATATGTAAGCGAAATAAAAAGGAAAGAAATGATACTATTCTTATCTGGACAGCTAACAACAAAGCTGGCTAATCCTACGGAGCAGCATTAGTACTTCCTACTTCCGAACTCTACGTAGTCTACTATCTAACTCATTTTTTTCCAATATGTACTTCATGTACTACCTACGTGAAATTAATAGTGCTTTAAGTAACAGGGACTAGGCCAGTTTCATCAATGCCGTTTTGGCGCTAGGGCCTACAGAAAACATTTTTCTCCAGCAGAAAAGAATTTTTCGCCGCTATATTGCACATAGGACGCCATATATTGCACATAGGACGCCAGGTTTGGTTCATAGGTTCACAGGCGATACCGACACAGAAAAGGAATACAAAATTAATCTCCCTCTGTGAGGTAATCTTGGCTAAGGCTCACCAGTCGCTCAGTGTTCGCCTTTCGTACTTAGGCACATGCTTCTAGAATTTAATGAAAACCGCACATTGAAAATTAGGTAGCCTTGGGAAAGTAAAAATATATATTTTTATACATTTATTTGCTGTACTATATTTCTCGTTGATCTTATAATGATTATGTTAATTTTCCCAAATGATTTCTGTACATATAAAGGACCGAGACTTTGTTTCTGGTCCATCGTCTCCTTGCTTCTTCTCCTGACTCCTAGTTTCCTCACTTTGATTATTGAGCATTGTATACGGTCTGGTAGCAGATTGAAGAGATTAATGAATTGTTTCATTCGATTCATCTTTGGAGCCCCAAGGCGCTCCCACGTCTACGGTTGGTATGCCGAATTGAAGTGGCTCTACCCAGTTCTCGTGCGGCAATATTTCCTAGATGTATTCCTTTTCCGAACCTTTTCAACCAAAAAGCCATCTCACCTCCTTGATCTGTTTAATCCTTGCCCCTCCCCTCTGTTCATTCGTTTAACATGACATCCCAGTCCATAAAGCTATTTGTTTCCTCTCATAGAACCGTTTCCTTTAAAAAATTCTGTCATGCGTGCTACCTTTTTCTGGAATTCATAACCTGCCTCCATACCCAAATCCTCTTCCTTAACCACGTTTAAACAACAATTATTCTTCCACCTACTAAGCAATCAATCTTCCGCATGTTAGAACAAAATTTCGTATTTAAGAGCGGACGCCTTCATTTGACTGTTATATTACAGTTACCCATATATTAACAATTTATATTGTTAATCAGAACAAATATGTGAACGCACTCAATATATATTTATGTGTAAATTAATATGTTTATTTGTACTTAATTTATTTTTATTTTACGGTTGGATTATTATGTTATGTTAACTAATTATTTTTTATTTTCTTATGTCTCGGGATAAAATTTACTTTCTTCTTCTTAAAAGAAGCATGTGACTAACCCGAAAGATCAATCAAACAAAAGGTTATGGAGAATCATTACCCATCATCCAAAACTATTTTAAAAGGATTATGCAATTTCAATCGCTTCAGTTGCTCAATATTACATAACGTTAGCACCGTTCTAGGTGTTACTGTGGGTTAAAGGTTACACAACACTTTTTTCTATCATCAAAATATGTTTTTCTTATTTGAAGAATGAATACTGGCAATTCTTCCATGTTACTACGAAGGAGCTCCTACTGGCAGCCAGTTATGGCTCGTCAGTAAGGACAACGTGATAAAGTAAAATTAAAAGCTCAATATAGAATTTTATCTTCATCAATATATCAAAATCTGGTGTGTGCATCACACACCTTTCACTTACCGCTCTACTTCGAAAAGCAATTCTTGTTCTGGAATGTTACAAGAAGTTTTTTAAAGCCCGTTTTTAATTTAGCTAAATCCTAACATATAAATAAATAAATACAACATATTTTTGATTTTCGGTCATATTCATCAATACAAAAACTCATTACGACCATCAATATAACATAAACACTGTTTATTATTTCCATTGTAGGTATTAAAAACTTTAAAACTGCATAAGTCTATTTGACTCACATAGCTCCAGTCTCTAAGCTCTATTGACAAAGAGAGATTTGAAAGTACAGACAATTAATTATGAATAAGTAACGTCATAAAGCAGAATAAAAAACGTCTGCCAAGTAAGGTCAGTATAGCTTCCTCACCGTTTTCATTGGCTAAAATATTAAAATATTACAAGGTATAAATTTTTTCGTATGAGAATAAAATTTCTGGGAGAAGCTGATTCGGAAATACAGTTACCCTTCAACATTCAACAATTGATATCCGCAAGTATTGTTCATCAACGAATACTAAAATGAATTTCGTTTATCAGCTGTTATTATTTAAATGAGAAAGAGTGCCGTTATTTGAAGATTCCATATTTGATTCTTCGTAATTAAAAAAAAAAAAATGCATTTTACTACTGTTAGTGCAAAAGGCAAAAGGTCGTATGTTAAAATTGATTGTTTTGCAAGAGTGCATAAAACTCATTATTTCTTTATGGTTTATTAGTATAACTAGTAGGCCGGTGCGAAAAATTCGCACAGCATATTGTTATCAAATGCCAGATTAATCAGAAAATAAAATAATGCAACGTATCAAAAGATAAAGAAATCAAATGTTACTTTATCGATAAATATAATCGTCAAAGAAAACAAAAATTAATTTATTTGGATTGATTTTTGTTTGGAAACAACATGTTTACAAATTTCAGTAAGCTGTATCTTTGCAAATAATTGTCCGATTTCAATCAATTTTTTTTCATTGTGTAGGAAATCTTTTATTTAATCACGGGCATAACCAAGGGAAAAGTGTGTAATTTTTTAGTTATTCGCAAATAAAGTTTGTTTTCTGTTATAACTTGTTTGCCTGAATTTTCGGGGTGATTGGACTATTTTGTCCGCCTGAAGGAGAAGGAAGCCTTCGAAATCGGTGGCTCAATCTTGAGATTTGGTGAAAAATTGACGATGATATGGCTGGCCGATCAAAAACACCATCGATAAATAATATAAACTCCTCCTCTCTCGATCATAGAGACCTCAAGTCGACGAAATGAGACACGTATTCAATGACGGTACTACAATTAATGTAAGGTTGTGTGGATGAGAACCCTATGCCTTGCGTTATCTCGAAAATAGTACGTTTTTGGGCTTAAAAACGCAGGATCCGGGTCTTGCTGTACGCATCAAAATCTTCTAGATCCAATTTGTCCCGTATCGATCTACAGACCTACCACTGTTCAGGTATTGATGCCTAGCAAAATGTTTGTATAGACTTTATTTAATTTAGAAAGAAAAACTAAAGTGGAAAATACGATTCGCTAACCCCCGTTAAATTCTGAATCCAATGGTACTCCATTCATGGTATTAATAATAATAATAATAATAAGGCTTAGCGAACCCGAAGGTTCGATGCCGACACCACCAATCGCTTGTTACACACCTCCCTCCACCGTTCGCCGTCCAAACCCAGTCCCTTCAGATCGGCTTTAATGCAATCTTCCCACCTTCGCTTCGGTCTACCCCTCGGACGCTTACCATTCGGCACAGCAAATATTAACCTTTTAGGAATTCTCTCGTTACTAAGCCCAACAACTTTACAAGCCCATTTGATTCGCCGCGATGAAATTACCTCAATTATATTACCCGGATACAGCTCACGCAATTCGGCGTTGTGTAACCGTCTGAACTCTCCGGTTAACTCATCCTTCTTCGGTCCGAATATTCTACGCAATACTTTATTTTCAAAAACCTTAAGACGCTGCTCATCCCTTAATGTAAGCGGCCAAGTTTCGCATCCATAAAGAACTGTAGGCAAGATAATTGTTTTATAGATTCTAATTTTTAAGTTCCGGGACAAGAGGCGCGAACTAAGTAGTTTTGTCACAGAAAAATAACAAGCATTCCCGCCTTCAGTCTAACCTTAATCTCTTCTTCAATTTCGTTTTTTCTAGTTATCGTAGAACCTAGATACCTAAATTTATCTACCTGTTCAAACATATTACCATCTATATCGATATCACCAGTAGTATCGCCATTTTTGCAGCTAACCATATATTTTGTTTTATCCACGTTTATTTCGAGTCCTAGTTCTTTACCGGCTTTCATTAACGTTGTCGTATTTAGTTTTATAGTTTCAACGTCTTCGCTTAACAGTACCAGATCATCAGCATAGCCCAGCACGGATGTTGTCCCGCCCAGATCCAACCCTTTCTCGGTTCGCATTACCTCCCTAATGGCATGTTCTAATGCCAAATTGAACAGGACAGGCGAAAGAGAATCCCCCTGTTTTAAGCCCGAACGAACCTCAAATTTTTCGGACAAATTATTACCGATTCTAACTTTATTGAGTGTCTCCGTCAAGCACATCCTGACTAGATTTACTAGTTTTTTTGGAATCCCCTGCTCGATTAGAATATTATACAGTTTCTGGCGGTCAATAGAATCGTAAGCCTTTTTAAAATCTATATACAGCTGGTGAACAATACCTTTATACTCCAATTTTTTCTCTAATATTTGCCGTAAAGAAAATATTTGATCAATAGTCGAACGATTCCGTCTAAATCCGCATTGGTAGTCTCCGATAATTTCCTCGGCGTATTCCGTGATTCGACTGGTTAAGATTAAAGTGAATATTTTATAACATACCGGAAGGAGTGAAATTCCTCGATAGTTATTACAATCCGTCCTCGGACCCTTTTTGTGAATCGGAATAAGAATAGATTCTTTCCATTCTTCAGGTAATTTCTCGTTCACCCAGATCTTTTTAACCAACCGATGTATTTTAGAAACTCCAGCTTCCCCGCATGCCTTAATTAGTTCAGTAGGAATATTATCGATTCCCGCTGCTTTATATGATTTTAATTTTCCGATAGCTACTTCAACTTCCTCTTTACTTGGTCCTTCTATTAACGGTTCAGCACTCTGGTACTCAGAAGGAGGACACAGATCATAATTTCCCGTATTTAAAATATTGTCAAAGTGGTCCTTAAACTTATTCAATATGTCAACCGGATCGGTCAGAATATTGTTATTATCATCCCTAATTCCAGACGTTACGGGCCCTACATATTTACGTGATCTGTTTATACCTTTGTACATGTCTCTTACGTTATTTTCGATTCTATTAGTTTCGATTTCAATTATTTTATTTTTAAGATACTCCCTTTTTTATTTTTGAGCAATTTTGTCGTTTCGTTCTTTGAGATTCGGAAGTACTCCAGATTGTCTTCGCTAGGATTATTTAGAGCTTTTAATTTAGCGGCTTTTCTTTTTTCGCACATGTTTAAGCAATCTTCATCAAACCACGGTTTGTTATTCTTATTTTCCTTTTTTCCTAGACACAAGTTACCGACCGCTTTAATATTATCCCTGATCTCTACCCATAACTTGTCAATATCCTCGTGGTCCTCGTCAGGAAGCTCTAAAGCTTCAAACCTATTCTTAACATCCAGCTCGAATTGATTTCTAATTGATGGATTTTTTAATTTTTCCAAATTAAAATTCTCAAAATAGAAATGGTTTTCTTTTCTCTTTTTTATATTAAGTTTTTGTCGAAGTTTCGCGATTACTAATTCATGATCCGACCCACATTCTGCGCCGCGATAAGATCGTACATTGATTATACTGCTTTGCCAGCTGTGTTGTATCAAGACATGATCGATTTGATTTCGTGTATTTATGAATATCCTAATGTTTAAACGTCGTACTTTTAATTATCAGGTTTTTCGAGATGGCAAAGTTTATCAGACGGATCCCATTATCATTAATATATTCGTGCAAACTTTCTTTACCAATCGTCGGAAAATAAACTTCTTCCCTTCCTAACTTTGCGTTCGTGTCACCTACAATTATTTTCATGTAGTTTCGCGGTAGTTTATCATAAACCCATTCGAGTTTATCGTAAAATTCACTTTTGACTTCATCGTCACTGTCTTCGGTCGGACAATGTATGTTTATTAATGCGATTTTAAACCAACGTCCCTGAAATATAGCTACCGAAATTCTATCACTAAAGAATTGTACGTCCTTCAAAGCGGATAGTAATCTACTCCTAATTAGAAACCCGGTACCTAAACAATGATCCCCGCTTCCTCCGTACCAAATAGTGTACTTTCCTTCCCTCATCGAGCCCTCCCCTGGCCAGCGAACCTCTTGCAGAGCCACGACATCCAAATTGTACCCATTTACCTCATTCGCGACCGATTTTAGCCCCCCTGCTGTGTTTAAACTCCTTACGTTCCACGTACCAATATTTAAATCCCTATATTGCAACTTGCGCCATGAATCCCCTAAAGCAGTCCCCACCCGGAGACCCAAACGGGGGACTAGTTTACCTCCGTATAATGAGCGTTTTACCTTAAGGAGATCCATGACTTTTTGTGGTGTTTGGTGAACTTAAGATATGTGAGTAGGGCGTTCAATCCTACGTCACACCCTCCAGCAAGTCTGGAGGTCCCCTCCCTCCAGCAAGTCTGGAGGCCCCTCCCTCCAGCAAGTCTGGAGGGCCCCTCTCATTGTTGGTCAGCGAGTCCATCGGACTTAGCCGGGAGGAACTTCCAAGGAATTTCCACCGACCATCCCCACATCCGCCACCCGTGGGACGCTCCCCATACGCGGTAATGAGCCCGCGCGAGGCCATTCATGGTATTGGAGCTTATATTTGGTACAATACCGAATTCGAGCCTTACTGTAATAATACATGTACGGATTTCACATTTCGCTTTTTTGAGCGGTTGGATCGATTTTTAAGTTTGATGGCTCAAATTATTCGACGAGAGTCCCTGAATGGTTTTGAAACAATTTCAGCTAAAAATAGTGAACCGCGATTAAAAAAAATATGTTTAATAGATTTGCAAAAAGTTTTGCAACGCTATTTTCGGTGAACAACTGAATCGATTTTTAAGTTGGGTATATTATATTATTCGGTGTGGTCGTGTGAATGTTTAGAAAGTGAAACAAGACAAGGGTCGTTTGTTCGGAGTCTCCGCTAATAAGAATATTTAATATAATCTTTGACTGAACGTTAATATTTAGGTTTTGATGTCTTAAAACATTCGATGAGATCCCGTCAGTGTTTTTCAAACAATTTGAGCTAAAAACACTGACCCGTGATTGAATAAAATTTGGTTAATCTATTTGCTGAGAGGTGTGTAAAAATTTTTCGAGCGTAAGCCTGCAACGATTTTATAAATAATCCTAGCGAAGACAATCTGGAATACTTCCGGGCCTTAAAGAATGAAACTACTAAATTGTTCAAAAATAAAAAGAGGGAGTATCTTAAAGATAAAATAATAGATATAGAAAACAATAGAATCGGAAACAACGTAAGAGACATGTACAAAGGTATAAATAAATCACGTAAATTTTTAGGACCCGTAACGACTGGAATCAGGGATGAAAATAACAATATCCTCACCGACCCTGTAGACATATTGAGTAAGTTTAAGAAACACATTGACAATATTTTAAATACGAGAAATAATGATCTGTGTCCTCCTTCAGAGTGCCGAAGATGTATTTGAATAGGTACAGAATTTTAGGTATCTAGGGTCTACGATAACTAGAAAAACGAATTTGCAAAGGAAATTAAGGTTAGGCTGAAGGCGAGAAATGCTTTTTATTTCTCTTTGTCAAAATTACTTAGTTCTCGCCTCCTGTCTCGAAACTTAAAAATTAGAATTTACAAAAGGATTATCCAACCACAGTTCTTTATGGATGCGAAACGTGACCGCTGACATTAAGGGATGAACAACTGCTTAAAGTTTTTGAAAATAAAGTATTGCACAGAATATTCGGACCGAAAAAATACGAGTCAACCGGAGAATTTAGGCGCTTACACAACACTGAATTGCGTGAACGGTATACGGTTAATATAATTGAGGTGATTAAGTTGAGGCGAATAAAATGGGCATGTAAAATCGCTGGGCTCAGTAACGAAAGAATTCAAAAAAGTTAATATGAACGTACCGACTGGTAAGCGTCTGAGGGGTAGACCAAAGCGATGGTGGGTAGATTGCGTCAAGATTGATCTGGCGGGTTGGGTTTAGAGGGAGCCCGGTGGATGGAAGAATGTGGACATCCACTGGTGGTATCGGCATCGAACCTTCACTAAGCCTTATTATTATTATTATAAATATAGATATTTCTTTTTACTATTTTTTTTTTTTTTTAACTAATCTCCAAAACCATTCTTCTGTTGAATTAAAATATAATGAAATATTTTTTCAGGCTATTCAGTTCAAATTGTTCTCAAGCATTCAATAGATATCACCGAGTAATTTGAACCATCTATCTTATAATATCCATTCAGCTGTCGGCTTAAAAAACCTTTATTTACATTTAAATGGATTGATTAAATCACGTTTTTAAAAAAATTTGTCGGTGTTTAATTGTTGCCCGGGAGGCAGAGCCAGCCGAGCAGGCGAAGAGGTGAGGAGCTGCCAAGGTGTTCACCATTAGCCCCGGGGGCAGAGCCAGCCGAGCAGGCGAAGAGGAGAGGAGCTGCCAAGGTGTTCACCATTAGCCCGGGGCAGAGCCAGCCGAGCAGGCGAAGAGGAGGAGCTGCCAGGTGTTCACCATTAGCCCGGGGGCAGAGCCAGCCGAGCAGGCGAAGAGGAGAGGAGCTGCCAAGGTGTTCACCATTAGCCCCGGGGGCAGAGCCAGCCGAGCAGGCGAAGAGGAGAGGAGCTGCCAAGGTGTTCACCATTAGCCCCGGGGGCAGAGCCAGCCGAGCAGGCGAAGAGGAGAGGAGCTGCCAAGGTGTTCACCATTAGCCCCGGGGGCAGAGCCAGCCGAGCAGGCGAAGAGGAGAGGAGCTGCCAAGGTGTTCACCATTAGCCCCGGGGGCAGAGCCAGCCGAGCAGGCGAAGAGGAGAGGAGCTGCCAAGGTGTTCACCATTAGCCCCGGGGGCAGAGCCAGCCGAGCAGGCGAAGAGGAGAGGAGCTGCCAAGGTGTTCACCATTAGCCCCGGGGGCAGAGCCAGCCGAGCAGGCGAAGAGGAGAGGAGCTGCCAAGGTGTTCACCATTAGCCCCGGGGGCAGAGCCAGCCGAGCAGGCGAAGAGGAGAGGAGCTGCCAAGGTGTTCACCATTAGCCCCGGGGGCAGAGCCAGCCGAGCAGGCGAAGAGGAGAGGAGCTGCCAAGGTGTTCACCATTAGCCCCGGGGGCAGAGCCAGCCGAGCAGGCGAAGAGGAGAGGAGCTGCCAAGGTGTTCACCATTAGCCCCGGGGGCAGAGCCAGCCGAGCAGGCGAAGAGGAGAGGAGCTGCCAAGGTGTTCACCATTAGCCCCGGGGGCAGAGCCAGCCGAGCAGGCGAAGAGGAGAGGAGCTGCCAAGGTGTTCACCATTAGCCCCGGGGGCAGAGCCAGCCGAGCAGGCGAAGAGGAGAGGAGCTGCCAAGGTGTTCACCATTAGCCCCGGGGGCAGAGCCAGCCGAGCAGGCGAAGAGGAGAGGAGCTGCCAAGGTGTTCACCATTAGCCCCGGGGGCAGAGCCAGCCGAGCAGGCGAAGAGGAGAGGAGCTGCCAAGGTGTTCACCATTAGCCCCGGGGGCAGAGCCAGCCGAGCAGGCGAAGAGGAGAGGAGCTGCCAAGGTGTTCACCATTAGCCCCGGGGGCAGAGCCAGCCGAGCAGGCGAAGAGGAGAGGAGCTGCCAAGGTGTTCACCATTAGCCCCGGGGGCAGAGCCAGCCGAGCAGGCGAAGAGGAGAGGAGCTGCCAAGGTGTTCACCATTAGCCCCGGGGGCAGAGCCAGCCGAGCAGGCGAAGAGGAGAGGAGCTGCCAAGGTGTTCACCATTAGCCCCGGGGGCAGAGCCAGCCGAGCAGGCGAAGAGGAGAGGAGCTGCCAAGGTGTTCACCATTAGCCCCGGGGGCAGAGCCAGCCGAGCAGGCGAAGAGGAGAGGAGCTGCCAAGGTGTTCACCATTAGCCCCGGGGGCAGAGCCAGCCGAGCAGGCGAAGAGGAGAGGAGCTGCCAAGGTGTTCACCATTAGCCCCGGGGGCAGAGCCAGCCGAGCAGGCGAAGAGGAGAGGAGCTGCCAAGGTGTTCACCATTAGCCCCGGGGGCAGAGCCAGCCGAGCAGGCGAAGAGGAGAGGAGCTGCCAAGGTGTTCACCATTAGCCCCGGGGGCAGAGCCAGCCGAGCAGGCGAAGAGGAGAGGAGCTGCCAAGGTGTTCACCATTAGCCCCGGGGGCAGAGCCAGCCGAGCAGGCGAAGAGGAGAGGAGCTGCCAAGGTGTTCACCATTAGCCCCGGGGGCAGAGCCAGCCGAGCAGGCGAAGAGGAGAGGAGCTGCCAAGGTGTTCACCATTAGCCCCGGGGGCAGAGCCAGCCGAGCAGGCGAAGAGGAGAGGAGCTGCCAAGGTGTTCACCATTAGCCCCGGGGGCAGAGCCAGCCGAGCAGGCGAAGAGGAGAGGAGCTGCCAAGGTGTTCACCATTAGCCCCGGGGGCAGAGCCAGCCGAGCAGGCGAAGAGGAGAGGAGCTGCCAAGGTGTTCACCATTAGCCCCGGGGGCAGAGCCAGCCGAGCAGGCGAAGAGGAGAGGAGCTGCCAAGGTGTTCACCATTAGCCCCGGGGGCAGAGCCAGCCGAGCAGGCGAAGAGGAGAGGAGCTGCCAAGGTGTTCACCATTAGCCCCGGGGGCAGAGCCAGCCGAGCAGGCGAAGAGGAGAGGAGCTGCCAAGGTGTTCACCATTAGCCCCGGGGGCAGAGCCAGCCGAGCAGGCGAAGAGGAGAGGAGCTGCCAAGGTGTTCACCATTAGCCCCGGGGGCAGAGCCAGCCGAGCAGGCGAAGAGGAGAGGAGCTGCCAAGGTGTTCACCATTAGCCCCGGGGGCAGAGCCAGCCGAGCAGGCGAAGAGGAGAGGAGCTGCCAAGGTGTTCACCATTAGCCCCGGGGGCAGAGCCAGCCGAGCAGGCGAAGAGGAGAGGAGCTGCCAAGGTGTTCACCATTAGCCCCGGGGGCAGAGCCAGCCGAGCAGGCGAAGAGGAGAGGAGCTGCCAAGGTGTTCACCATTAGCCCCGGGGGCAGAGCCAGCCGAGCAGGCGAAGAGGAGAGGAGCTGCCAAGGTGTTCACCATTAGCCCCGGGGGCAGAGCCAGCCGAGCAGGCGAAGAGGAGAGGAGCTGCCAAGGTGTTCACCATTAGCCCCGGGGGCAGAGCCAGCCGAGCAGGCGAAGAGGAGAGGAGCTGCCAAGGTGTTCACCATTAGCCCCGGGGGCAGAGCCAGCCGAGCAGGCGAAGAGGAGAGGAGCTGCCAAGGTGTTCACCATTAGCCCCGGGGGCAGAGCCAGCCGAGCAGGCGAAGAGGAGAGGAGCTGCCAAGGTGTTCACCATTAGCCCCGGGGGCAGAGCCAGCCGAGCAGGCGAAGAGGAGAGGAGCGGCCAAGGTGTTCACCATTAGCCCCGGGGGCAGAGCCAGCCGAGCAGGCGAAGAGGAGACACCTGATTGGTGTTATTAGGCGCCATTATCTGCCGCTTCATTCCTAAGTTCCTTTATTAGCGGCCATTATGAATATATTGATGAAACGTGTCGATAATAGCAATCAATGATTATCTCTGGTATGATTTACCTTTCCTAATAATCTTAATAAAAATGAATGGGCAAGAAACGGACCATTACTACAAGGCAGTATTAATGAGAGATTTCAACTCAAGTTACCTGCCAATTCAATTGGAACAAATGATTATTAGTCGCCATTATAACTTTGGCCTTAGTAGAAGATTAGACCTGACTATTTCTGCCATAAGAGGGAAGGAGGATCATCATATATCATACAGGTACACATGCAGTGCTGGGCAAAATTTATCTTAAATAAAATATAATAGATAACGAATAATTTATTCCAACATTCAACTATAAATAACGAATAATTTTGTTTATCTTTTATCTAGATAATAAATAAATTCAAGTTCTATTATCTTTTCATTTGTGATTCGAGTTTTTCAAATAAATGTCGAATAATTTGACGCTAATTTTATTTTTCTTCTATATGAGGGCTAATTTATATATATTCAGATCTGTAGTTTTTGAAAATAATCTCCATTTTAGAATTACGCCACCACGTTGCGACTTTTTTAATTTATTTTTTATTACATTGATAAAAGGATTGATTTATATGTTTTCGGAGCCGTACTTTTTGAAAATGTTCACCATTTCTAGAGCAGGCTAGTGCGTTGCGACTTTTTTGAGTTTCTTGGATTTCTTCCATATCAGGTTTTATTTATATTTTTTGTAACTTTCGGATTTAATCTATATTAAGGTCTATGATTATGTTTTTGGGGGCGCTTTTTATGAAAATACTTTGGGATTTGAGATTGCGCCCCCGGGAATCGACTTTTTGTATTTTTTCAGATTAAATAACGAATAATAGATGCATATTATTTGTAAATAAAAAATAACAAATAATTATCTGTCCAAAGGTCGTTGGATAAGAATAACGAATACAAATTTATCTATTGTTCGTTATCTAAAGAAAATTTCAAATAATTTATTCGAGTAACGCCCAACAATGTATACCTGAGAGTCATCATATATCATGCCATCATATTTGGGGTACATGAGAGGGGAGGAGGGTCATCATATATCATGCCATCATATTTGTGGTACATGAGAGGGGAGGAGGGTCATCATATATCATGCCATCATATTTGGGGTACATGAGAGGGGAGGAGGGTCATCATATATCATGCCATCATATTTGTGGTACATGAGAGGGGAGGAGGGTCATCATATATCATGCCATCATATTTGTGGTACATGAGAGGGGAGGAGGGTCATCATATATCATGCCATCATATTTGTGGTACATGAGAGGGGAGGAGAGTCATCATATATCATGCCATCATATTTGTGGTACATGAGAGGGGAGGAGGGTCATCATATATCATGCCATCATATTTGTGGTACATGAGAGGGGAGGAGGGTCATCATATATCATGCCATCATATTTGTGGTACATGAGAGGGGAGGAGGGTCATCATATATCATGCCATCATATTTGTGGTACATGAGAGGGGAGGAGGGTCATCATATATCATGCCATCATATTTGTGGTACATGAGAGGGGAGAGGGTCATCATATATCATGCCATCATATTTGTGGTACATGAGAGGGGAGGAGGGTCATCATATATCATGCCATCATATTTGTGGTACATGAGAGGGGAAGAGGGTCATCATATATCATGCCATCATATTTGTGGTACATGAGAGGGGAGGAGGGTCATCATATATCATGCCATCATATTTGTGGTACATGAGAGGGGAAGAGGGTCATCATATATCATGCCATCATATTTGTGGTACATGAGAGGGGAAGAGGGTCATCATATATCATGCCATCATATTTGTGGTACATGAGAGGGGAGGAGGGTCATCATATTCGTGGTATACATGAGAGGGCATGATTTAGCAGTAGAACCAAACCTGTTCCATCCGGTCAGGAAAGATGGAGATTCATTGACATTCCTCGTTGGGTGCACATGCATCAAAGGCGGCATTTGGGCTCTCTTGTGACAGCCAAAAAATGCTTTATTATTAGACATTTTTTGTTTTTTTCACATACAAATCCTGAAAGGCACAACAAAGCGAACAACTTACTCTTTAAGAAGTTGAAGAACGTTAAGTTTTGTATCGAATGAGCGTATAACGTAATAATATTTACTAAATATCTCAATATACAAAAAATGATAAATATTACTATAAATGAACCTGCAGCTTCGAAATGAATTTCCTAACGGAACAAACTCATAGAATAAAAGTTGCAGACCATTAAATTATTCGTCCCCTCAGTTCTAACATTTTTAATTTATTTATTTAGAGATAATTATCTCAAAACGTGTACTTCTCCTAAGTGTACTCTAACGTGAATTTCTCCACGATCGCAATATTTTCCCTTACTACATATTTGGTTTAGGAAAAAGCAATTTCGTTTTTTCAAAATAGGTGACTTTAAAGTCACTTATCTCTTGTAATCCTTATTCAATGAAGCCATTTTATAGTGCGTTTGACAGATCACAGTCAACAAACAAACCATCTATATATAAAATAGATTCATTCATTTACTTATTCAACGGTTATTGTGGTCTAAAAATGGATGTTTCAGAAGGTCATTTCAGCACAGGCCGTGAAAATGTGTTTCAGCGTTGATATAAAGTGGCACTTCCGGTTAGCCAATTTTAAGGAAAAAGTTGCCGTCACAACTAAGGCATATACCTATCTTAAATACGTGATATCAGTTTCATAGGCCTTTTCGTTTTTGAGCTAGACTGCTAACATACAAACACACAGACACACAGACCATTTGTCGGGACTTGGTCATTTCGACTCAGGGTACCTCAAAACGTATAAATCCGTCGAAAACTCAGATTCAAAAATTTTGGCGTCCGTTATACAGAAATCATGTCTGTTATAAAATTATCGCAATCAAATGGGAATCAAGAAATCGTCCGCTATAGAGAAAAGTGTTCTATAGGCAAGTGCCCGTAGAGGGAACTTTCACTGTATTCCTTCGGTTTGAACTTTTCCAACTTTAATCATTTCCAAACCATAATGTATACTATTTATCATATTATTATGATTATTTATCGAATTCATTGATCAAAAATACTAACGCAAATAGAAATGTTTAAACCATAGAAAGGCATTCAAACTTTTACAACTCAGATATAAATACTCTTCTACATCTTCAAAATGCATGAAAGTAAAATAAGAATTTTTTTTTTTCTCTTCATATATAATAAACAATATCTAAGTTACTAGTCCCGGTTAACCCAGCAATCCTCAACTTGGATACGCCCATTGCATTCATAAAGTCGCCGGAGACGGGATTGAGTTGAACTCGCCCTGTGGGCTGGAGATGGAACTAGTTTTAGAAGGCTCAGCTGGAGCTTAGCACTTTCCCTATGTCGTAACCCCCATTATCTCTTCTTTAGGCTCTGTCCGCTTCCTACTTCAATTATTATATCAAATCATTCCATTATCTGTATATTCATATCTTATTTATACATAACATATAGGTTTATAATTTAAATACGATTAATTATTGAAATTTTTATAATAATTTTTTACTTTCATTTACCTACGTATCTATTTTTTTTTCTTTCCTACCTCGCCTTACCCAGGACGCGAACTAGTTGTTATTTTAGTATCTATAATTCGGTCATCAGGTTGCTCACTCGGCCACCCCGCTCCTTATTTACCTATATATCTAATATATAATAAGAGAAAGTATTGCGTTCGTGAAAATTTTCGAATCTGAATTTTCAACGGAAATATACATACCTCAAAATGGTCTGTGTGTATGTGAACAGCCTAGCTCAAAAACGAAAACTCGTAAGAAACAGATATTACCTATTTAAGATAGGTATATGCCTGTAATAGGTAACCGGAAATGCCACTTTACATCAAAGCTTATACACATTTTTATTATTTTTTCTAAAACGACTCAAACGATTTTCATTAAACTCGATGTATTAATGTAGAATTAAATGGTTTTTAATACTAGCTAGATTTTACCCTCATTGATGTCACCTAACAGGGATTAAATGCCCAATGTTGATCATTTCTTACCCAAAATTTCTTTAAAATTATCTTTAATTTGGCTTATTATAAATACTTAACTGTCTTATTGTTTTAGTAACAAAAAAAATATAAACAATGAAAGAATTTGATAATTGATTAAAGGAGAAAAAAAATTTTTTTAGATAGAAAATTTCCATAAGTAACAGTCAGAAGGTACAAGTATAGTATATCATTGGAAAGATGATAATTTTATTAAATAAAAATATTTAAAATACAAAGTCGTAGAAAGTAACAAGGAGTGCCGGAAAAATTATAAATAACAATTTCTCAAAACTAGTATTATTTAACAGGAAATACATGTTTCCAAGGAGATTAAATGAAATTTTCAAACTGAATGTAAACTTTTAAAATTATATTATGTTTAAAAAAAAGTGTATAAAATCTATCAAATCAAGCCAATGGCATTATTTAAAAAATAATTTTACACTACTTCTGTGAAAGAAGAAGTGAAATATAAAAATATTTCATAGATGAATAAAACATATTATGTTAATAACCTTGAATACATTTACCATAGTTTAATAATTCAAGATCCGATATTATATTTAAATAATTAGGAAATTGTCTTCGGTATATCTAAAAAAAAATGTAACATTTTAGAAAATTAAATTAATGAATATATTTGAAAAAATCCTATTAAAAAGAAACCTACCCATAATAAAATGACAAAAGATTCCTACCCATCAATTCGGATTTCGTTTCCAGCATTCCACCGTTCAACAAGGACTCGAATTGTTGACCACATATCCAATTGAGGCGGGAGTTCCTCAAGGCAGCGTCTTGGGTCCCGTCCTCTACATTCTGTTTACCGCTGATATTCCTACTCATCCCGAAACCCTCCTGGCAATCCTATCTTCCATCCAGATCCTAACACAGCATCCTTAAACCTTCAAAGTCACCTTTCTCTTATTGAACATTGGTATAATAATAAGCGCATCCAAGTAAATGAATCCAAATCCAAACACATCACTTTTACCCTTCGGCGCAAGTCCTGTCCACCAGTCTATTTCAAAGCCATACCACTTCCTCTCTCAGACACAGTCCGGTATCTTGACTTTCTTCTAGATAAAAGACTAACGTGGAACCCAAATACCAGACTTAAAAAACAACAACTTAACAGACGATACGGACAGCTATATAGACTAATGAATAGAAAATCTCAACTTTCAGTCGACAACAAACTACTAATCTACAAGACAATCCTGAAACCTATCTGGACCTACGAACTAGAGCTGTGGGAAACAACAAAACCTTCTAACATTAAACGCATTCAATCCTTTCAGTTTAAAGTCCTCCGAACAATAGTCGATGCTCCCTTCTATGTAACCAATAAAACCCTCCATAATGACCTTCATATCCCATTTCTAATTGACCTAATCCCAGACAAATTTTCCAAATTTCACCAGAACCTCAGTCCAGATTAAAGCGGCAGTGGCCCCCCGACCTTTTGTAAATATGTATATATTGGAGTACTGGCAATGACCATAAACTCCACTCAAGTCCTGAGCGGCTGTTGCTCTAGTGCCCTCCATCAGTCTCCACTGGCTTGCAATACCAGTGACGCGGCTGGGAGAGAAGCACTGGGATCTCCTGGGGCCCTGCCTTGGCTTCCACATTTGGGGGGCAAAGCATGACTCAGAATCCCCTGGCCGAATGTAAATATTGTATATAGGTGCGAATGTGTTTTATATATTTTAATTTCATTTAGTTTTTCTCTAATTTTTTTTTCCTTTTTTTTACATATGTATGTTAATTTTCTTATTTTACTTTCTACAACTCCTTTTCTTTTATCTGTATTTTAGTTATTATTATATATACAATATGTATATATTGTGTGAATGTTTAATAATAAGCCCTAATATTAATGTCCTCCAATGCGGCAGAATGATTAATTTTCAAATTAAAAAAAAATATTTAAAAAAATGAATAAATAATTTGATAAAAATTTTCTCTCTATGATATCACAACATTATTCATTTACAGTTAGTGTGACAACTTTTGGACTATCAATAACAGACAATGAAAATCTTGTAACTCCATTTTAGTAAACTCTACAATGGAAGTTTTTTTTTAGTTTTTTATTTATTGAGTATTACAACAATCTGTCTCTTGGACATTGGTTATAGTGAGGTAGGATAACATTCACACTATATATACAAAAAATATAAAATAAATAGAAGCAAAATAATACTCAAAAGTATATACAATAAATAATAAAATAAAATAACCTAAAAATAAGAAAATTAAAGCTAAGCAAAAAAACACATGCATACCTATATACAATCAGGCGAGGGAACTCCAGGAGAACCCTGTGCTACTCTCTCAACCACATCACTGGTACTAAAGCCAGCGGAGATTGGTCGAGAGCACTTTAGCTACATACACTCTACATACACGCTACATGTCTTGAGTGGAGAATCTGGCCATTGTCAGAACTCCAATATATACAAACAAACAAAAGGTCGCGAGGACACTGCCGTGTCAACCTTCTTGGAGGATTATAGGGATGGGTGGTGCTTGATAGGGATTGTCCAAGAGGATTTGGATGGTACGTAAGGTTCTGGTGAAATTTGGAGAATTTTTCTGGGATAAGGTCTAGGACAAATGAGATGTTGAGGTCATGATGTAGGGTTTTGTTGGTTACATGCAATGGAAAAATAAGGGTTTAAAACTGATGGTAGTACAATCCATAATCGTTCATAGGTCAAATATACAAATGTATTGTCAAATCTTTCTAGGCATATATAGATCAGAGAATGGAGTTAGGTGATTTACACAGCCTAAGTTACGAGGTTTTTATTGCCTACCGTCGATATAATAAATCGGAATAGTGTTATTTTAATGGCCTTAAGGATTTGTTGCAGGTTAGCTGTAAGGTTTAAGGCTCCGCTAAAAATTCCCATCAAAAACTTAATCATCACCCAACACACCAGATTTTGAAATTACTTGCCGCTTTAATGTTAAATATATCCTTACAGAGGGGTCAACAATTGATTACCGAGGCGAGAGGAGTGGGGAAACAGGAATAGAATGGAAATGTGGAGGAATGAGGCCATCCTTAATTTATGATAACGTTATTATTAGGTACATTCCTAATGCTCTGCTGCTTTTGATTTCTTGTATTCTTAAAGTGATCTTAAATTTATCTTGATGGCTTACAATTTGATAGAGTGTACTGGAGGGGAGAGGGAATGAGAGGGGTAGTCAAACGAAATAAGAGAGGATAGTCTAACAAAATGAAAGATGTAGCCTAGGGAAATAAGAGGGGGGAGGGGTAGTCTAACGAAATAGGAGAGGATAGTCTAACAAAATGAAAGATGTAGCCTGGGGAAATTAGAGGGGGGGTAGTCTAACGAAATAGGAGAGGATAGTCTAACAAAATGAAAATGTAGTTGAGGGCCGCCTACCGCGTCTCCCTATCTCAGCAATGATATAAATATATTAATATAAAATGAAATATATGAAGGGTATAAATATATTTAATTTTATATAATATATATCTTATATTGGACCTTAAGTATGAAAAAATCACCTAAGCTAAAATAAATTGTGTTTTCAAAAATAAACCAGCGATAAAATATTAATGGACCGTAATCTCGAAGAAATCCAAAAAAGTCGATTAGTTTTTCCAAAACTACGCATCCCATAAAATATTAATAATCCTAATATTGTCTATGAAATCCTGGAATAAAATTAAATCGTTTCGGAAGTAGTTGATCTCGAAATTGGTTTTTATTTATTGTTTTATTTTCCAAAAAAAAAAACAATAAGTTAAAATAAATCGGTACAAGGATATAATATGAAAATATCAAAACTCTGCTAACACCCTGAAGTTATTATATTGCTAAAACATCAACCTTAGATAACATAATATTAAGCATTTATATTTAAGAAATCCGATAATATAAAATAAATCGATACGAAGGGAGGAATCTTAAAATTCGTATTATTTCTTAATACTTTACACTTTCGATAACATTCTAATGGGCCATATTATAGGCCAAGAGCTATAATACGACTATAATAATCCTCAAGAGCTATACTACGACTATAATAATCCTCAAGTGCTATAATACGACTATAATAATCCTCAAGAGCTATACTACGACTATAATAATCCTCAAGAGCTATACTACGACTATAATAATCCTCAAGAGCTATACTATGACTATAATAATCCTCAAGAGCTATACTACGACTATAATAATCCTCAAGAGTTATACTACGACTATAATAATTCTCAAGAGCTATACTATGACTATAATAATTTTCAAGAGCTATACTACGACTATAATAATCCTCAAGTGCTATAATACGACTATAATAATTCTCAAGAGCTATAATACGACTATAATAATCCTCAAGAGCTATACTACGACTATAATAATCCTCAAGATGCTATAATACGACTATAATAATCCTCAAGAGCTATACTACGACTATAATAATTTTCAAGAGCTATACTACGACTATAATAATCCTCAAATGCTATAATACGACTATAATAATTCTCAAGAGCTATACTACGACTATAATAATCCTCAAGAGCTATACTACGACTATAATAATCCTCAAGAGCTATACTACGACTATAATAATCCTCAAGAGCTATACTACGACTATAATAATTCTCAAGAGCTATACTACGACTATAATAATCCTCAAGAGCTATACTACGACTATAATAATCCTCAAGATGCTATAATACGACTATAATAATCCTCAAGAGCTATAATACGACTATAATAATCCTCAAGTGCTATAATACGACTATAATAATCCTCAAGTGCTATAATACGACTATAATAATCCTCAAGATCTATACTACGACTATAATAATCCTCAAGAGCTATACTACGACTATAATAATTCTCAAGAGCTATACTACGACTATAATAATCCTCAAGAGCTATACTACGACTATAATAATCCTCAAGAGCTATACTACGACTATAATAATCCTCAAGTGCTATAATACGACTATAATAATTCTCAAGAGCTATACTACGACTATAATAATCCTCAAGAGCTATACTACGACTATAATAATCCTCAAGAGCTATACTACGACTATAATAATCCTCAAGAGCTATAATACGACTATAATAATCCTCAAGAGCTATACTACGACTATAATAATCCTCAAGAGCTATACTACGACTATAATAATCCTCAAGAGCTATACTACGACTATAATAATCCTCAAGAGCTATACTACGACTATAATAATTCTCAAGAGCTATACTACGACTATAATAATCCTCAAGAGCTATACTACGACTATAATAATCCTCAAGAGCTATACTACGACTATAATAATCCTCAAGAGCTATACTACGACTATAATAATTCTCAAGAGCTATACTACGACTATAATAATCCTCAAGAGCTATACTACGACTATAATAATCCTCAAGAGCTATACTACGACTATAATAATCCTCAAGAGCTATACTACGACTATAATAATCCTCAAGAGCTATACTACGACTATAATAATCCTCAAGAGCTATACTACGACTATAATAATCCTCAAGAGCTATACTACGACTATAATAATCCTCAAGAGCTATACTACGACTATAATAATCCTCAAGAGCTATACTACGACTATAATAATCCTCAAGAGCTATAATACGACTATAATAATTCTCAAGAGCTATACTACGACTATAATAATCCTCAAGAGCTATACTACGACTATAATAATCCTCAAGAGCTATACTACGACTATAATAATTCTCAAGAGCTATACTACGACTATAATAATCCTCAAGAGCTATACTACGACTATAATAATCCTCAAGAGCTATACTACGACTATAATAATTCTCAAGAGCTATACTACGACTATAATAATCCTCAAGTGCTATAATACGACTATAATAATTCTCAAGAGCTATACTACGACTATAATAATCCTCAAGAGCTATACTACGACTATAATAATCCTCAAGAGCTATACTACGACTATAATAATCCTCAAGAGCTATACTACGACTATAATAATCCTCAAGAGCTATACTACGACTATAATAATTCTCAAGAGCTATACTACGACTATAATAATCCTCAAGAGCTATAATACGACTATAATAATTCTCAAGAGCTATACTACGACTATAATAATCCTCAAGAGCTATACTACGACTATAATAATCCTCAAGTGCTATAATACGACTATAATAATCCTCAAGAGCTATACTACGACTATAATAATTCTCAAGAGCTATACTACGACTATAATAATTCTCAAGAGCTATACTACGACTATAATAATCCTCAAGAGCTATACTATGACTATAATAATTCTCAAGAGCTATACTACGACTATAATAATCCTCAAGTGCTATAATACGACTATAATAATTCTCAAGAGCTATACTACGACTATAATAATCCTCAAGAGCTATACTACGACTATAATAATCCTCAAGTGCTATAATACGACTATAATAATCCTCAAGAGCTATAATACGACTATAATAATTCTCAAGAGCTATACTACGACTATAATAATCCTCAAGAGCTATACTACGACTATAATAATTCTCAAGAGCTATACTACGACTATAATAATTCTCAAGAGCTATATTACGACTATAATAATCCTCAAGAGCTATAATACGACTATAATAATCCTCAAGTGCTATAATACGACTATAATAATCCTCAAGATCTATACTACGACTATAATAATCCTCAAGAGCTATACTATGACTATAATAATTCTCAAGAGCTATACTACGACTATAATAATCCTCAAGAGCTATACTACGACTATAATAATTCTCAAGAGCTATACTACGACTATAATAATCCTCAAGTGCTATAATACGACTATAATAATTCTCAAGAGCTATACTACGACTATAATAATTCTCAAGAGCTATACTACGACTATAATAATCCTCAAGAGCTATACTACGACTATAATAATCCTCAAGAGCTATACTACGACTATAATAATTTTCAAGAGCTATACTACGACTATAATAATCCTCAAATGCTATAATAAGGCTATAATAATCCTCAAGTGCTATAATACGACTATAATAATTCTCAAGAGCTATACTACGACTATAATAATTCTCAAGAGCTATACTACGACTATAATAATCCTCAAGAGCTATACTACGACTATAATAATTCTCAAGAGCTATACTACGACTATAATAATTCTCAAGAGCTATAATACGACTATAATAATCCTCAAGAGCTATACTACGACTATAATAATCCTCAAGTGCTATAATACGACTATAATAATCCTCAAGATCTATACTACGACTATAATAATTCTCAAGAGCTATACTATGACTATAATAATTCTCAAGAGCTATACTACGACTATAATAATCCTCAAGAGCTATACTACGACTATAATAATCTTCAAGAGCTATACTACGACTATAATAATCCTCAAATGCTATAATACGACTATAATAATTCTCAAGAGCTATACTACGACTATAATAATCCTCAAGAGCTATACTACGACTATAATAATTCTCAAGAGCTATACTACGACTATAATAATCCTCAAGAGCTATACTACGACTATAATAATCCTCAAGAGCTATACTACGACTATAATAATTCTCAAGAGCTATACTACGACTATAATAATCCTCAAGTGCTATAATACGACTATAATAATCCTCAAGAGCTATACTACGACTATAATAATCCTCAAGAGCTATACTACGACTATAATAATCCTCAAGAGCTATACTACGACTATAATAATCCTCAAGAGCTATACTACGACTATAATAATCCTCAAGAGCTATACTATGACTATAATAATTCTCAAGAGCTATACTACGACTATAATAATCCTCAAGATGCTATAATACGACTATAATAATCCTCAAGATCTATACTACGACTATAATAATTCTCAAGAGCTATACTACGACTATAATAATCCTCAAGAGCTATACTACGACTATAATAATCCTCAAGAGCTATACTACGACTATAATAATTCTCAAGAGCTATACTACGACTATAATAATCCTCAAATGCTATAATAAGGCTATAATAATCCTCAAGAGATATACTAGGACTATAATAATCCTCAAGAGCTATACTACGACTATAATAATCCTCAAGAGCTATACTACGACTATAATAATCCTCAAGAGCTATACTACGACTATAATAATTCTCAAGAGCTATACTACGACTATAATAATCCTCAAATGCTATAATACGACTATAATAATCCTCAAGATGCTATAATAAGACTATAATAATTCTCAAGAGCTATACTATGACTATAATAATTCTCAAGAGCTATACTACGACTATAATAATCCTCAAGAGCTATACTACGACTATAATAATTCTCAAGAGCTATACTACGACTATAATAATTCTCAAGAGCTATATTACGACTATAATAATCCTCAAGAGCTATACCATGACTATAATAATCCTCAAGTGCTATAATACGACTATAATAATCCTCAAGATCTATACTACGACTATAATAATTCTCAAGAGCTATACTATGACTATAATAATTTTCAAGAGCTATACTACGACTATAATAATCCTCAAGAGCTATACTATGACTATAATAATTCTCAAGAGCTATACTACGACTATAATAATCCTCAAATGCTATAATACGACTATAATAATTCTCAAGAGCTATACTACGACTATAATAATTCTCAAGAGCTATACTACGACTATAATAATTCTCAAGAGCTATACTACGACTATAATAATCCTCAAGAGCTATACTACGACTATAATAATCCTCAAGAGCTATACTACGACTATAATAATTTTCAAGAGCTATACTACGACTATAATAATCCTCAAGTGCTATAATACGACTATAATAATCCTCAAGATCTATACTACGACTATAATAATTCTCAAGAGCTATACTATGACTATAATAATTTTCAAGAGCTATACTACGACTATAATAATCCTCAAGAGCTATACTATGACTATAATAATTTTCAAGAGCTATACTACGACTATAATAATCCTCAAATGCTATAATACGACTATAATAATTCTCAAGAGCTATACTATGACTATAATAATTCTCAAGAGCTATACTACGACTATAATAATCCTCAAGAGCTATACTACGACTATAATAATTCTCAAGAGCTATACTATGACTATAATAATTTTCAAGAGCTATACTACGACTATAATAATCCTCAAATGCTATAATAAGGCTATAATAATCCTCAAATGCTATAATAAGGCTATAATAATTCTCAAGAGCTATACTATGACTATAATAATTTTCAAGAGCTATACTACGACTATAATAATCCTCAAGAGCTATACTATGACTATAATAATTTTCAAGAGCTATACTACGACTATAATAATTCTCAAGAGCTATATTACGACTATAATAATCCTCAAGAGCTATACCATGACTATAATAATCCTCAAGTGCTATAATACGACTATAATAATCCTCAAGATCTATACTACGACTATAATAATTCTCAAGAGCTATACTATGACTATAATAATTCTCAAGAGCTATACTACGACTATAATAATCCTCAAGAGCTATACTATGACTATAATAATTTTCAAGAGCTATACTACGACTATAATAATCCTCAAATGCTATAATACGACTATAATAATTCTCAAGAGCTATACTAGGACTATAATAATCCTCAAGAGCTATACTACGACTATAATAATCCTCAAGTGCTATAATACGACTATAATAATTCTGAAGAGCTATACTATGACTATAATAATTCTCAAGAGCTATACTACGACTATAATAATCCTCAAGAGCTATACTATGACTATAATAATCCTCAAGAGCTATACTACGACTATAATAATCCTCAAGAGCTATAATACGACTATAATAATCCTCAAGAGCTATACTACGACTATAATAATCCTCAAGTGCTATAATACGACTATAATAATCCTCAAGATCTATACTACGACTATAATAATCCTCAAGAGCTATACTATGACTATAATAATTTTCAAGAGCTATACTACGACTATAATAATCCTCAAGAGCTATACTATGACTATAATAATTTTCAAGAGCTATACTACGACTATAATAATCCTCAAATGCTATAATACGACTATAATAATTCTCAAGAGCTATACTATGACTATAATAATTCTCAAGAGCTATACTACGACTATAATAATCCTCAAGAGTTATACTACGACTATAATAATTCTCAAGAGCTATACTACGACTATAATAATTCTCAAGAGCTATACTACGACTATAATAATCCTCAAATGCTATAATAAGGCTATAATAATCCTCAAGAGCTATACTACGACTATAATAATCCTCAAGAGCTATACTATGACTATAATAATTCTCAAGAGCTATACTACGACTATAATAATCCTCAAGAGCTATACTACGACTATAATAATTTTCAAGAGCTATACTACGACTATAATAATCCTCAAGAGCTATAATACGACTATAATAATCCTCAAGAGCTATACTAGGACTATAATAATCCTCAAGTGCTATAATACGACTATAATAATCCTCAAGATCTATACTACGACTATAATAATCCTCAAGAGCTATACTACGACTATAATAATCCTCAAGAGCTATACTACGACTATAATAATCCT